TGAATTTATATGTATATAAATTAATTTAAATAAATTATATAATTTATTTTTGTTTAAAATGATGATGTGTCATAATTTTGATGATGTGTACATAATTTGGAAGCCAAATCATTGCCACATCATCATTTTTATTTGAGTTGGCAGACGCGGGGGGTTTTCGGTGAATTATTAACAAGTTTGGGGTTTTATTGGTTAATCATACCAAGTATAGGATTTAATTGGTAAGCAAAAAAGTATAGGGTTTTTTCATTGACCTGGGAAGAGTACAGGGTTTTTATGGCGATTTCCCCAAATATAAATAACCGAAAACATAAACAGATCTGAAGCGGAACCGTTTTGCAGATGGCAACCCTTGTTAATGGTATCGAATGGATCGAATAATACATACTTGTAATGGAGACAATACCGATCTGAAAATAGATTCAAATTGAAATTAAATCAAAATCGAATTTAATAAAAAACCTGAAAAACAAAAAAAAAAAACTATTAAGAAAATGAATTATTCTTAAAAATCGAATTCCAATAAAATCAAACATAGTTTGAATTGGATAAAAATACAATATAAGAACGAAAAAAAAACGTAATTTTTAAAAAGTCGGAATAAACAAATCTGTAATTTAACAAACGAAATCCGAAATATTCATCCGACAGTTTTATCGGTTTAAGAAATGAGGGTTAAGAATTCAAGATTCATTAGGTTTTCTTGTATGTCCTATTTATGACGATATAACGGAAAAATTTTAAAAAATATTTTTAACTTGTCAATTTTTATAAAATAAAATAGAAATTTAATTTTTTTATCAAATAAAATTCCAAACTTTATTTTTTAATTAAAAATAAACTCAAATTTTATAATCTTTATTATTTTTAAATTTGAATACTTTTTAAATTTGAATACTGAAATATCACTATCGATATCGTATATGACAAATCAAAGATATTGATCATATTTAACACATCATCATGCACATATCATGATACTAAAATTAGTATAATAATAGGTTTAAAAATTACATATTATAAAAGTTATGTTTATTTATGATTCAAAAATCAAATTGAGATTTTAATTGATAAAAAATAAAGTTTAGATTTTATTTTATAAAAATTGGTAAATTCAAATATATTTTGGGATTTTCTCTTAATTACTCAAATTATCCATAAACAAACATTGTTTTTTTTTTAACTATAACATGGCAAAGGGAAAAGAGAGGAAGTAATTACAAGTAAGTTTATTAACAATATATATGGAACCTCCTTTTGTTGTTCATTTTCCATCTCTTTCCAACTGTACACTATTAACACCTCTCAAAATGGTAACAACACCAACACTTCAAATTCACGCATCATTCCACCCACCATCTTTCTCCTCTTCCCAAAACACAAAATCCAAACTACCAAAAACAGCTCCTAGCAATAAGAATTCAGAGAAGCACATCAACTTCCTTCCTACCCGATTACCCGATAAATTCGAGCAAGACACACGCATCATTTTCCTACTCGTGATCCCCATTTCGCTCTTTAGTTCATCCCCGGGGCCGTGTGCTTTCCAAAGGGTTGTTAGCCTTTTCTATTATTCTCCTCTCCGAGTCAGTCTCCCCGATACTACTACTACTACTACCGCTACTGCTAACACTACTGTCCACTGTTCTACTACATGATTTAACTTGAGTCAGACTGCACAAAACCATAGCTTCCCATACCTTCTTCTGAGTGCTTGTCCTGGAAAATGCATTGCTGTGCCACAACATTCTGTTTTCTCATGGTTGTGATAATGATGATGAAGTTTCGTGAAGTTCTAAAGAGCATTGATCTGATTTTGCTAGTGGGGAGTGTCTTGTGAGCAAGGGGGGTGAAGAGGAAGAGGATGATGGAGACAAAGCACCAGAATAGGGCGACTGCCTGTAGCTACTTCCGAGATCTCCAAAAATGAATTCAGCAAAGTCGTCTGTGCTAGTTGAGTCTTTCATGCTATCAGTGCTACAAGAACATTCATCTGAGTTGCTGTCAAAGAGAGAGGAACTATCACTCGATGAATCCTCTTCTAAAATCCTCTGCAGTCTGTGGAAGTTGGAGTAAAATGACTGTATTCTGTTTGATCCAGCGTCCGAGAATTTAGAGCAAGGAATGGCACTTGGAATCGAAGCAGACCGTGACAGAGGAGCAGTGGGTTTCCCATTGATATTAGTTACTGCCACGTTGTTTTTACTGGAAGTGCCAGATTTGGTACATATTGATCTCGGAGGCCTCGGATAGCACCTGCAGTTAATTAATTGGATTTACGAGATCAGTAATTTGATTGGGGGGAAGAATTCATATCCATAATCTAGCTGAGAAAGCAAGAATTACCGTGCATAGAACAACATATATGCTCCCTTTGTCAAGACCCTTTCGATTTCAGATATTACTACCTAGAATAATCAAACAAAATACCAAGATTTAAAAATGAGCTAATAGCTATCCATACAGAAATACACGTAAAACGCTATTGAAAATGAGCAGCTTACCGTGCTATCATCGGCTTTGTACCATTTGTTTTGACTGTTCTTAATATAACACACATAATGGCCAGAAAATGCAGCATTCATGATGTCCAAATGAACGATAACTCCATAAAGTTTGTAGACATGTGACTTATCACTTCTTCTGCTGACATATGGAGCCAAATCTAGCGTTTCTGGAAACCTAATCAACTTATTGAGCTTCCCAAATTTCCCTGACTGCAGAGTTGTGTGCTGTGAGACAGCTAGAACAATATAATAGACCTCAAGAGAAACAAAACCAGCTTCCATCAAAGAAAGACATTACCTGGAATCTTTTTAGTGCAATTGTAAGGACGTTGGGAGGCTCGAGTATTTTCAGTTTCTTTTTGGCCCTCTCATAGGATTTACACCTGCTCACAAAATACGAATAAACATCAATCACCCATTAACTGTCTCAAATAATCCTGACTACACCAGTTCGAATATAGTTTCCACAAGAGAGTAATTGATCGATGTGAACTGACATAAAAGTATTCCCAAGTGTTCATGTCTTGTTTGGTTGGAGAAATTTTTTTATTAAGCTAACAAATAATTTCTACGCGTTATAGACTATAGAGAAGATATGAAACAGGTCAAGGTTAAAATCAATTGCTATGCTGTAAATAGCTGCCCCAGAAGATTCAGGCAAAAAGTCTATGGACACTAATAGAGTAAATAATGATATAATCCATTGCACGAAACGGTGTTATCAAGCCTGACGTAAAGAGAAAACGATGACTAACCTGCCACATTTGTACTTGTTTTCTCCATCCAAAATCTCAGTCCTTGTAAATCGTCGCAGAGCATCATCCAAAGTGCTAACATCCCCGTCGATCTCAACTGTAAGATCCATCATCCTCTCATGCCGCTCAGACTTCCCTTGACATTTCATGCATTTAATCTGCAAAAAAAAAATTGTAATTTTTATAGCAACAAGGATCAGTTCTACTCCAACTTCTAACTCCCAAACATTTAGAGTTTAGATGGGAAATTCCCAAAGTGGTGATACCTTAGAGCGTAGGTATCCTCCAAATGTCAACCCTATTAAGGTTGTCTCATCTAGTTTTGCAGTCTCCAACATAGCATATCCAGATTCCTTAATGCAAATAGACTGCATTGTGTCTACAACAAACCTGAAAATCGAATAGAAAGCAGAAATGAATATAAAACTCATAGCTAAATCTTTTAGATATTATATGTTAAAGTTAGCTATAACATATAGATTATAGATATGTGCACGTGTTCACTGTAAGAAGAAATGCCAGCTCACCTAAGGAATTCATGTGCGTCTTCTTCTTTGCCATTGCCAAGACACATTCCAATATTTTGCAGCTGGGCCAATACCCCACTCGGGTACAAAGGATATTTCCCTTCTTTTGCCATCAAGACCAGGTTCTCAAACCCACAGGTAAAGCACTGTTCTCTGTCTGGACCTAATTGTTTAAACGATCTATTTAGACCTTGATATAGAAATGGTAACAAATCTCATGTTCCGAGAGATGCAACACAAATTACATCAATAAAATAATGTAAAATCAGAACACACATGTTTTAGAATGGAGTCCCTGAAGGAAGTAAGCAGTCAGAGGAGGCGTGAACATCAAGCATTGGAATACAACATTGGCAAAACAGCTGCAAGAACAAAATATTTTATATATTAGCGTCGCATTTTTGCTGCAGCATTTAGGCTGAAGATGATGAGCATTGACCCCTTACAAACACACAGCTTCAGACAGCATAAATTTTAGCTTAAAGTAGCTATTATCTGAAGCATTTCGCATTACCTATTGCCGCAATTGACAAGACCACATGCCCGCAACTCCAATTTATTCCAATTATACAGCTTGACGAAAAATTCATATGGAAAAAGGCCCTGCAAGTCACAAACAGATTCGATAAAAAAAATAAGATTGTCAGGATTTGCTGATATTGGGACCAAATGCTGTATGACAATAGTATCTCAGTGATCACCTTGTGGGTACGTTTTCTAGTTATCTCATTTCGAGCTAAGAGTTTATACTGATCTGATGACTTTGGCCTAGTCCACTGGTCTACAACTTTCAATACAGATGCCTTAAAGCCATTTTTTTCACGCGAAGAATTTGTAACCTTCTGACTATCAGAAACTCTCCCAAGTTTTGCAACTAAGGGAGAAGGTTCTACAACATCAGAAGTTTTGCTTGTATCTGCAGTCTTCGACGCAAAATGTGTGACTTCTCCAGCCTTCCAGGAGCCAAAAGGAGTGCCATTTTCCTTACTAGTGCTCTTTGACTTTCGAAGGGCCACAGATGATAAAACAGTAATGTCCAATGGACCAGCAGATGTAGGAACTTCTCTTACAACAGATGCTGGAGTAGCAGAAGATATTGTTGATAACGAAGTTTTAGCTTCAAGGGAAGCAGCATAAGAACCATTACTTGTGCCACTTGTGGCCTTTTTGGAGCTTCTTTCTAATAGAATTTTTTCATCAACACCTTTATTAGTCTCCGATTCTGTCAGAGGAGCGTCATCTGAACTATTACTTTTCACATCAGAAACATTGTCAAGATCTGTCAAAGTTTCTCTAGGTGAGCTGAAGAAGTGCATAGAAGAGCCTGTATCAGATAAGTTCTCTTCATCAGCTTCACCAGCTTTGGACGATGCAGAACCATCACTAGGATCACTTACACATTCTATTGTTTCAAGATCCCTACCCCAAAAACCAGATGACACCGTAGGAGACTGGTCTGCAGATCCTGAATGCCTAACCATAACACCAGAGCGCAAGCTACTGGATTGGCTTTGAATCACTTCAATATCACTACCTGGTTTACTACTATCGAGTTTAGCCATATTCACAAGATTATCTACCGACTCAACCAACTGAGTAAACTTAGGAGACAATGGCTTGGATGGGACCACATCATCGGTGGCAAAACAGGTCTCCACTGACTCTACAGCAATATCAGAATGGAGAGGAGAATCAGGTCTCTCGGAATCAGATGAATTGATGCTGTCACATATAGAGATATCATCGGAAGAATCATTACTGGGAGAGGTAGAGAACCCAGAAAACGAAGACCCAGAAGTTTCAGAAACAGAAACAGCTTCTTCCTTCTCTATAAGAGGGTCATCCTTAACATCTGCAATGTCTCCATTTTTATCTTCGAGGGAGCTGGTAGCATTACAGGCTGCAGTTTCCCTGATTGCGGTTTCAGCCGATTCAAGAATAGTCTCTTCATTTTTCTCAATGACTTTCAAACCAGAATCACTTCTTCCATTGCCAGTATTACACGTGATGGGAGGAGGATGGCACTCATCTTTGTGGCCTTGCCGCCAGTGGATAATCTGACATTTTCCAGAACTGAAAAATGGAAAACCGACGGATTATAATGTAAATATGAACAGAGAATACAAACACTCAACACAAACCGTGCAGAGCTCAAACTATCTAATTGTCATAAAGGTCTCTACGGCATAATGCTACCCTGAACCAGCTAATATTCGTGAAACATAAATTCTATTATACCGTTGACATGAAGCGATTAAAAAACCACATCCTCCTCCCAATTCATAGAAATGTCGTATGATTCCATGTAACTTTTCTATATCTCTCTATCCAACAACATTCCAATATGGATAACAGATTCAAATTCATTTCCAATACTGCTCAAGAGACAAAGATTCCTAAAAATCGTATTATTTCCCTTTAACTACCATAAAAGAGAGCCACAGAGCACGATTCCGCCATTCCCAACCCAGATTTCAAAATAATTTCACACAAGAATAAGGTAAAATCAAAACTTTCAGAGTTACACAGACACAAACACCAAAAAATGTTCACGAAGTGCTGCATAATTCGCATACCAGTATCGAACTGCCTTGCACTTAGCACACCGAGTCGTCGCAGGGACATAGCAAACGGGACAATAGTTGCCATTAGAGACGGAAGCAGAGGCGTACACGAGAGATGCCTCGAGCTCTGCCCTAGCAGCCTCCTCCGACGCACGAATAAGAAGCCTCCGAATCTCCTCCCGCCTCCGGGCCGTGAGACGCCATTGCCGGCGAACCACGAAGCCGATCAGAGGTACGACCAAGCAAAGGACAAGGGCTAGGCTCGAAATCCCTAGATCCCAAACTAAGAGCATTTATCCAGCACCAGTAGACGAACATCCACAACTCGAGACGAATTCCAAGCTCCTAATTTGACCACCAACCATAGATTTCGCTGTCGTGAAAGCCTGGTCGGCAATAGTCCCTCCGTCGCCCTCGCATGCAGGGAACCCAGAATGGCAAAGTTGATCCGCCGATGAACGAGATTCCGATCGGCAATCGTGCGAGAACTTCGAGGAATTGAAAAATCAGACCCAGATAACAGATTTGGCAAAAAAACACGAGATTTGGAGATTCCAAGACTGCACTCCGGCTGTTAACGAAGCGGAGCAACAGAGAGGAGTGTGTTCGTGAAGTTGGATTGTTTGGAAGGCGAGAAACTCATTGGACGTAGATCGAGAATTTAGGGCTTTTTTTGGGGGTTTCCAATCCAAGAAGTGAAAAATAAAAAGGAGAGGGAGGAAACTGTTAATTACCATTTTGATAATTAAAAATAATTTAACAATATTTATTTATTTATTACTTCTTTTCGACCTTGAGTTAGATGGAAGAAATGGGCGGCCGTAGGGAAAAGAATTTTTCTTTTTTCCCAAAAGCGTAGCGTAAATCCATTGCTCAACAAATATTCCCACCATATTTATTCAAGGGGTTCTTCTCGAAAATATTAATATAGTTTTACATGCGATATATGTGTGTGTATATATAACAAAAACGCCACGACATCATGTATTTTAATGCTTCCGTTTAAAAACATTTTGATTTTTGCAATTTTATAATTTCTTTAAAAAATTATATGAATATATATATATATATATATATATAATATAAATGGAAAGAAAGGTTGAATATTATAATGAGAATATCTATATATAATTATTAAAAAAAGGGAGAATCGCCGTAAAATACATGTATTTTTTTCTGATCTCAATTTAATATCTGTATTTTTTTAATTACTGAATAATATCTGTACAATTGGTTTTTCTTCAAATAAATCATATACTTTTAAATTATTGGCCAAAAAATACCTACCGTCAAATAACTGCCACGTACACAAACGGAAATCCTACGTGGCAGCGAAATTCTCAACCTCTCTCCTAATCATCACGCCATGTCATCGCCACGTCAAATATTAAATAAAAATAAATAAATAATAAATAATTAATTAATAATTAATAATAATAATTAAATAAATAAATAAAAATCATAAAATAAATAATAAATATATATGCATATATATATACATATATATTATACATACACATATATATACATATATACATATGCATACACACATATATATAGATATACATGCATATACAACACATACACATATATATATATACAACACATACATATACATATACATATATATATACATACATTTATATATTTTATGATTTTTATTTAATTAATTAATTTTTATTATTAAGTAATTTATTTTTTATTTAATTTCTGATGTGGCGATGACATGGCGCGATGATTAGGAGAGAGGTTGAGAATTTCGCCGCCACGTAGGATTTCCGTTTGTCTACGTGGCGGGTATTTTACCGTAGGTATTTTTTTGCCAATAATTTAAAAGTATATGATTTATTTGGAGAAAAACCAATTGTACAGGTATTATTCAGTAATTAAAAAAGTACAGGTATTAAATTGAGACCAGGAAAAAATACAGGTATTTTACGGCGATTCTCCCTTAAAAAATAATGAATCCTATTATTTTTGTATAACCATCTAATAAATATATATTCTATTTAAAGATATATCTAACCATATAAATTTCATATTGTATTTAACATTTATATGTACATCTATATATACATATATATTCTATTATTTTCAAATTTTAAAGTTTTTTTATTCAAACTTTTAAATAATTTTTATGTCTTCTATAACAATCTAATATTCAACTCTATAAATTCTAATTTCAACTTGTAAAATAAACAGTTTAAATAGTTTCTATCTTGTATATATCACCCAATATTTTTCAGATTCTATTGATCTTACAAGACCTCTACACAATTCTATCTCATTTGATTTACAAAAATCTTCATGTGGATCCATTGATTTGTTTCTTAATCTATACATCAATCTCCATATAAAAATTTGACACGAGAAGTATAGAAACAACAAATGAGAAAATGATAGCATTTATATCATTTTCGTATCGTCAGATAGCCAAAGAAGACACATATAACATCTTTGGGATCCAATTTACTTCAATGTTCATCTAGAACAAGAGGATAACAAATATATCCAAATATGCATAAGTGTTCAATATTATCTTTTCGAATGTATAGTATATCTTAAAGGGCAAAACATCGTCTAGCATTTTTATAGGAAGATGGTTAATTGTATAACGAGCAAAGATGGTTGCATTGCTCCAATATGTCTTACATATATATTTGTAGAACATCATACTTCTGCTACTTTGACAAGGTGACGATTTTTTTGTTCGGCACCCATTTTGTTGTGATGTATATGGATATGTTTTTTGGTATACAATTCATTCATAGTAAAATCCCGAAATTGTTTGCTTATATATTCAACGCCATTATTTTAATCTTTGTATGAAAATGATTACAATATAACCGTGAAAAATTTTAAACACATCAAGAACAACGGTTTTAGAGGTGAGAAAATAAATCCATACATATTTAGTTTTTTCGTCGATAAATGCGATAAAATATTTGAAATTATATCGAGAATGACATGGAGATGTCAACATCAGAATGCACTAAATCAAAACAATGATTGTATGTTGTTGTGTATTTTAGAAATACATTATGATAATGTTTACCAAGAATGCATTTTCACATTTTTTGTTTATTATCGAAGTGAATTTTTGAAGAAAATAAATAGACGTAACACTTTAGGATGATAATGTCTCGATCGAGTATGTCAAAGAGAAGAAAAAATTTGTTCAACAGATGAGTAAGTAGAGTCATGAAAGGCAAAAAATCGAGAAAATAAAGGTTGTCTTGCTTTCTTCCTTTGCCGAGAACAATGGCGGTTTCAATATCCTAAAAAATAACCTTAATAGTAGTGAAGGTGATTAAACAATTAGAAAAATTCGATGTGAATTTTGAGATAGAAGGGAGATTAATATGAAAATTTGGAATACGAAATGCATCAACTTCATTGTAAAATAATGTTAATTTGCTTTTGTCAATTAACCTTTTAAGTTATATTAAAATCGCATAGTCTCATATATACCTATACATCATTCGGATCTCTCTAATTGTAGTGCATTCGATTTATTCTTATACCCCTCTGAGAAGCGGCCTATATTCTAGGCATAAAGATCTATAGAGATAGATCGAGGCGTCTTCTAGGATTGTGTTAGAGTACTTACATCGATAAGGTCTTGAAACGGTTCAAGATGCAAGATTCCAAGAAAGGAACCTTACTGATGAGCAGTGGCACAGTTCTCTGCAAGAGTCAGTGTCCTATGATACCTGATGAGCGAGAACGCATGGATCGGATTCCATATGCTTCGGCAATTGGATCCATCATGTATGTCATGCTTTGTACTCGACCGGATGTATCCTACGCGTTGAGCATTACGAGTAGATACCAGTCAGATGCAGGTGAGTCGCACTGGATCGCCGTCAAGAACATCCTGAAGTACTTGAGAAAGACTAAGGATGTATTCTTGGTATACGGTGGGTCGGAAGACGAGCTCGCTGTAAAGGGTTACACCGATGCTAGTTTTCAGTCAGACCCGGATGACTACAGATCGCAGTCTGGCTATGTTTTCTGTTTGAACGGAGGTGCTGTTAGCTGGAAGAGTTCCAAGCAAGCGACCGTTGCAGATTCTACTACAGAAGCTGAGTATATTGCAGCGTCGGACGCAGCAAAGGAAGCTGTTTGGATCAGAAAGTTTGTTGGAGACTTGGGT